CCCCATCCCTTTTATTTTGAGACAGGGTCTTACTAAATTGCTTAGGCCCGCCCAAAACTTGCAATCCTCTTGACTCAGCCTTCTGTGTTGTTGTAATTATAGGCATGGGCCACTGCGCCATTATTGCCACCTTTTTATACTGCAGAAAGAAAACCTTGTGTTACTTCTGTAAATTCACAGGCTTGGTTTTGCTGGAATGCCCTGCCCTTCATCTACCTGGAAAAAGTGTATTTGAACTATTCCTCTTGTGAAGCTACCTGGGATCCATCTGGATTCCTACCGAATCTAGGGAAGGTTTATCCATTAGATACCATAAGCCTAGGGGTTTCTAATCAGAAAAGAGGGCTATTGTTGTGGCTCATTGGTAGAGCACTTCCCTAGCATATGAGAGGCATTGGGTTTGATCCCCAGCACCACATAAATAAGCAAAGTAAAGGTATTGTGTCCATCTACAGCTAAAAATAATTTTTAAAAACTCAGAAAATAATTTTTAGGTAGAAGAAAATATTTTATACGTAATAATAGGATATATTCATCTTTTCATCAACTAAATCACAAGATAGACTGTGCGTTGAGTGCAGTGATGCATGCCTATAATTCAATGACTCAGGAGGCTGAAGAACCAGGATTCCAAGTTCAAGGACAGCCTCAGTAATTAGTGAGACCCTCTCTAAAAGTAAAAAGGTCTGGGGACGTAGTTCAGTGGTAAACTCCCCCTGGGTTCCATCATCAGTGCCAAACAAACAAAAAATCCTGAATGCATCTGTTATTTTAATGCAGCTCTGGCAAGTCCGCTTGCCTTATAGATGGTGATCATGTTTATTACTGCATTATTCCTCATAACATCCCCATTGCTCATACTACTGACTGGCATTTTAGAAGTTTAAGTGGCTATGAGTAAATGAGAAGTATGCACCTCATATAAGTAATGACTCAAAGGCAGATGATTTTCATTAGCAGCACTCAGAATTTCAAGAATGCTTGGCAAATAGAGAAAATATGGAGTAGGTATATGGTCATCAGAAAGAATTCCTTGGCAAAAAAAAAAAAAGCATGTGAGGTCAAAGCTATTGGGGACATAAATAAATAGTTATAGAGGCCTCAGAACTGTGGCCAGCCAGGTATTCATGGATACTATCAAAACAACCAAAATGTTATTTTCCTCAGGTGAAATTAAGCCTTCTGGAATAAAATTAGGAAAGTAATCAATGATGAGATGATAGATGTAAGGTGATCTGGGTCACATTTTTTGGATGAGGGTATCTAGCAAATGTCTAAAAAATTACTGTGATTTGTAATGCAGAGCCTTTGACAGAAATATAGGCCCAGGGCAGTGTGTTGAGAGTGAATGGGTAGCCAGGCACAGTGGCACATGCCTGTAATCCCAGAGACTTGGGAGGCTGAGGCAAGAGAATCACAAGTTCAGGGCTAGCCTCAGCAACTAAGTGAGGCCTCCAAACAACTTAGTGAGACCTTGTCTCAAAATAAAATATAAAAAGGGTAGAGATGTGGTTCAGTGGTTAAGCACCTTTGGGTTCAGTCCTCAGTACAAAAAATGAAAACACACAGCCAAAAAAATAAAACAAAACAACAACAACAAAAAAAAAACACATAAACAATGAATGGATGGGTTTGCCCCTCAAGGTCCAGAGAGTGGCCATAGAGTTTTTCATGCTTTCTTAGTAATAGACATTTATAGATTCAGTTATATTGGCATTATGGACTTTCTGAACAAGCCACACCTGCCTTATGGAGTTGTTTTTTGTTTTTTGTTTTTTTGGCATCAAGGATTGAACTCAGGGGTAATTAACCACTGAACCATATCCCCAACCCTTTTTTGTATTTTATTTAAAGACAAGGTCCACAGAGTTTCTTAGGGCCTCACTAAGTTGCTGAGGCTAGCTTTGAACTTGAGATCTCCTGCCTCAGCCTCCAGAGTCTCTGAGATTACAAACCACATCTGGACCTTAAGAAGTTTTATAAAATAAGACTCAGCTTTTAAAAATTACTGAGTATTGGTCTGGCTTAGAGGTAGCATTTCTTGCCTAGCATGCATAAGGTCCTGGTTCAATCCTCATCACTGGAAAAAAAAATTCTGGAGTATATATGCCACCCTTATTGTATTTCTGGGCAGCAGTGATCTCAGAGAAATGCAGTGTGCCTGCCGGTGTTGTCCTTCCCTAGATATATGTCAACTCTCCAAAAAACGTTGTACTGAGGAATTGTGTTCCTTCATCTATTCCTATTTGGGGCCTATGTAACTAAATGAGACCCTGTCTCTAAATAAAATACAAAATAGGGCTGGGGATGTGTTCGGTGGTTGAGTGCCCCTGAGTTCAATTCCTAGTACAAAAAAAAAAAAACCCAAAAAACAATTTTGATGTGGTCTCACTGGGAAGCAAAAACAGTTTAACAATATTTCTTTTTTTAATATTTTTAGTTGTATATGGACACAATACCTTTATTTTTATTTATTTATCTTTTTACGTGGTGCTGAGGATCGAACCCAGTGCCTCCTGCATGCTAGGCAAGCGCTGTACCACTGAGCCACAACCCCAGCCCCTTAACAATATTTCTGAAAGGATTTAGTCTGTCACTGGGTATAAAATCAGCGACATTTGTTATCATTTCAGTGAGTTTGCCTTCAGTAATTTCCCTTAAGGCTTCACATTTTTACAAAATTGCAGTCATGATATAACACCATCTCATAAGTTTTTTCCTCTTAACCTCATGGAATAAAATTTTCCTTTCCTCCCTCCCCCATGCTGGGGATCAACCCCAGCACATCCAGCTCCTAATTTTTTGTTATTAATCATTTTTATATGATTGTTGTTTGATTAATAATCTATTTCCCTGTTGTTTTTGTTTTTTTGGAACCAGGGATTAAATCCAGGTGTACTTTACTACTACTGAGCCACATCTCCACCCCTATTTATTTATTTATTTATTTTAATTTTTGAGGCAGGACCTCAAACTCTCCATCCTCTTGCCTCAGCCTCTTAAGTCGCTGGAATAACAGGAATGTGGCAAAATATATGCATATTTTGGGATTATCACAAAACATCAAGAAAGTGTAACAGTGGTAACTTTGTAGTTGGAGTGTAGTTGATTTTAATTTTTAAAACTTTTCTGCCTTTTTCAAGTTACTTATAAGGGAAATTTATCACTTGTAGTAACTAAAAGAACACACCCACAAAGTACCAAACAAAACAAAGCCTTTTTTTTTTTATAGAGACTACAAGGAAAATACTACTAAAGCCTTTGATACTATAATCATTACAAATTATAAAAAGAATTGTTTTGCTTGGAGCAAAATGTAGAAGGACAAGTAGCCAGTTTGTTCCTAAATACAAGCTGGATGCTGTTCTGCTTGTGCTATACCTGTCACCAGTCCAGAAGCAGAGTGGCCTGAGTGGGGTCGGGAGACTAGAAGCTGCATTTTATATTCATTCAGTTCTTACAGAAACCGTGTAAGGCAGGCAGGCAGAATTATTTCCACTTTACAATTTTTGGAAATGGAAACATACTGAGGGTTTGACCGAGAATCTGAAACAGCAGTTCAGACCTGACACAACCCACTGTACTCCCATCCCTACATACCCCGCCTCGCCAGGGCCTCCCAAGCTGGTCAGCGCAACAGCGGCACGACTAAGACTTGTTCATGTCAGAATTTTTGCGGACATCGAAAAGGCAAGGAATATTTAAATCTTTTCAGCCACACCTGCAGAAGTCTTTTGGAGACAAATGAGGGATGGTTTCTTAGAGCCAACTCATCCATAAGGAAACTGTGAAAGGAAGAAAGCCATGAAGGAGAAACTGACGTCACTAAAGAGGCGGAGATATGTAGATAAGAGTACGATGATTGCTGGTTTGAGAGCGTTTTTCTCGCGGCAAAATTTCCAGCAAATATCCCGGAAATTGTAGCTTGATCTGCAACATATAAAGAAGTGTGTAGTTTGAAATAGAACACCTAAAGAACTTGAAATTGGGTTGACCGTGACTAAGTAGTGTGTTAAGGACGAGGGTGAAGTGGCACAAGTGGGAAGCAACTCATACTTACCTGGCAGGGGAGATACCATGATCACGAAGGTGGTTTTCCCAGGGCGAGGCTTATCCATTGCACTCCGGATGTGCTGACCCCTGCGATTTCCCCAAATGTGGGAAACTCGACTGCATAATTTGTGGTAGTGGGGGACTGCGTTCGCGCTTTCCCCTGATTTGTTTGTTAAGAACAGATTAAAAACCACTGTCCGTACTTCATGGGTGTTTGGGGTTATTTTCCATAGTTTCAGTTCGAGAATGGAAAGAAGTTATAAATATGCCCCGAACATCTAGTTAAGTGAATCTGAGCGGTCTTGGGATAAAACTGTAGTTACATCTCAATTGGAAACTGAGTTAGTATTTTTTTCTCCTCTCTATCAAAGATGATGTGCTTGCTTCATTCAGTTTGTGCGATTAAAGCAGGAAAATGGAGGAAATAAAACTATCAGTAATTATGATAGTGAATTTTAACAATTTTGTGAGCATGATTAAATGTTAATTTCAAACATGACAACCTATATTATTAATTATTTGTTTGCTAGGGACTGCCATAACAAAGTACTGCAGATGGGAGTGATTAAACAATGACGTTTATTTTCTCTCCAAGAAGTTTTTAAACCGCCCAAGTAAGATCAAGGTACTGACAGAGTTGGGTTCCTCATTCCTTGATTTCTGAGATGCTGTATATTTGCTGCCTCTTCATACTGTGATCTTAGCCTCTGGGCTGTCCTTCCTCTTTGAAGGACATACATAAGTCATTGGGACTGGAGATGTGACTCAATGGTATAGCACTTGCCTGCCATTCATGAGGCCCTGGGTTCTGTCCCCAGTACTACAAAACAGAAAAAGACACTGTTGTTGTGTTACATTCCCACCCTAAGGATCTCATTGTAATTATTCACTTTCCCCCTCTCCCATCTGTACGGGGCTGGGGATTGAACCCAAAGCCTTATGAATTCTAGGCAAGCCTCTACTACTCCCTTCTTGATTTATTTGTTGCAGTGCTGGAAGTCAAACCCAGGCCTCATGCATTGCAGGCAAGGCCCCCATCACTGAACATCATCAAACACTCTAAACAAACACCTAAGGTATTGAAAGTTAAAACATTTGAATGGGGGGGGGGTGAGAGCTCCCAATTTTGTTCATAACAATTAGTCATCTAAATCATAATGATACTATGTCATTTTCTGGGCTGGAGTTGTGGCTTAGTAATAGAGCACTTGCCTAGCAAGTGTGAGGCACTGGTTTTGATCCTAGCATTACATAAAAACAAATTAAAGGCATTGAGTCCACATACAACTGAAAAAAAATTTTTTTAATTAAAATGTGATTTTCTAGGGCTGGGGATGTGGCTCAAGCGGTAGCGCGCTCGCCTGGCATGCGTGCGGCCCAGGTTCGATCCTCAGCACCACATACCAACAAAGATGTTGTGTCCGCCGAGAACTAAAAAATAAAAAAATGTTGGAAATTCTCTTCTCTCTCTCTCTCTCTCTCTCTCTCTCTCTCTCCTCCTCTCTCCTCTCCTCTCACTCTCTCTTTAAAAAAAAAAAAAAGGGATTTTCTAATACCTGGAAAAAGAAAAGGAAGAAGGTGGGAAAAAGAGGAATGACAGCTTGCTATAAAACTTTGGTTCATATGCATTTAAGACCAAACTATTTTCTGAGCACTTTTTTTAGAGAAAGTTATGCCAGGTGTGGTGGTGCATACCTGTAATCCCAGTGCCTTGGGAGGATGAGGCAGAAAGATTGCAAGTTAGAGGCCAGCTTCAGCAATTTAGTGAGGCTCTGAACAATTTAGCAAGACCTATCTCAAAATTAAAAATAAAAGGGACTCAGATCAATGTAAACACCCCTGAATTCAATCCCTAGTAACAACAAAAAAAAAGTTGTGATGCTGTTGGATTACTAGAATACTGCTTGTAGTCAGTGACATGGATATTAACAGATACCAAAAAAATAAAAAACTTAATTTAGTACTTTCCACATTTAGTCCCTGGATAAATCAAGGAAGTGTTACTTCTCAGTTGGTTGCTATGTCACAGTTGCTAATTCTAGTGTTTAGGAGGCTGAGGCAGGAGGATCACAAATTCAAGGTCAGCCTCAGCAATTTAGCAAGACCTTGTCCCAAAATCAAAAATATAACTAGCTGGGAATGTACCTTATGTTAGAGCACCCTGGGTTCAATCCTAGTACCCCCCCACACCCCCCAAAAGTGTTACTTTTCAGTAACCTACAATCCCTGAGCCTCCTGGCTGAAGATCCATTAAATGTATCAGTCTTTTTGACTTTTTCTTTTACTTCACCTCATTTCATACCTTCTGTGCTTCCCCACATAGCTTGAAGCCCTTGAGGTCCATTCTTGAGGATTTATGTGAATAGCATTTAGTTGTCTTATTGTCTGTAGAACATAACACATTGCCACTTATCTGCCTTGCAAGACTATAAACATTGTGGTAGCAATGATCTAATTTTAGGTGTTTTACTCATTACCTGTCACATTTGAAACACATAGTAGATGTCTTAGCCCATTTTGTGCTGCTATGTTGAAGTGTGCTGCTATGTTGAAATGTCTGAAAACTAGTTATTTGTAGTAGAGAAGTTTATTTCTCACAGTTCTGGAAGCTGTGAAGACCAAGTTGGAGGGACCAGCTTCTGAAGAGGGCCTTCTTGCTGCTTCATCCTGTGACAGAAGGAGGGAGGCACATGTCTGTAATCCCAATGACTCGGAGGCTAAGAAAAAGGATCCCAAGTTCCCAAGTTCAAGGCCTGCTATGGAGATGACTGAGCTACATCCCAGTCCTTTTTTTTTTTTGGTACCGGCTATTGAACCCAGGAACATGTAACCACTATGCAACTTCCCCAGCCATTTTGAAAAAAATTTAGGGGACTGGAGATATAACTCAGTTGGTAGAGTGCTTTCCTTGCATGTACAAGGCCCTGGGTTCAATCACCAGCAACACACACAGACATACACACACACACACACACACACACACAAATCTATCTATCTCTATCTATCTGTATCTATCTGTCTGTCTATCTATATTTATATTTTAGAAACAGGTCTCACTGAATTGCTTAGGTTCTTGCTAAATTGCTGAGGCTGGCTTTGAATTTGGGATCCTCCTTCCTCAGCATCCTGAGCTGCAGGATCACAGGCATGTGCAACCACATCCAGCAGTCTCAGTACTTTTTAAATTTTATTTTGAGACAGGATCTTGCTAACTTGCCCAAGCTGGCCTCAAACTTAAAATCATCCTGCCTCAGCCTCCCACATTCTGGGATTACCAGCCTGCAGCAACTCACCTGGGTCAATTCTTTTTTTTTTTTTTTTTTTTTTGGTGCTGGGGATTGAACCCAGGGCCTTGTGCATGTGAGGCAAGCACTCTACCAAATGAGCTATATCCCCAACCCCTATTCTTTAACAATAAATAACATTAATGGCAGACACAATGGTACATGCTTGTAATCCTATCAGCTCGAGAGACTGAGGTAGAAGGATTGAAAGTTTGAGACTAGTCTCAGCAACTTAGTGAGGCTCTAAGTGACTTAGGGATACCCTGTCTTAAAATAAAAATAAAGGGCTAGGAATGTAGCTTATTGATAAATGTATCCTTGCTTCATTTCCCAGTACCAAAGCAACAACAGCAAACAAACAAAAAACAGTAACATTGAGCATAAACATTAATCTCATAGAGTTTCTGTAATTGTTCCCCTAAAATCCTCTTCATTACAGTTGACCCTCTGAATTCATGAATTCTACATCCTTATATTCAACCAACCTTGTATAGAAAATTATTTATTTTTGTGGTGCTCGAAATGAAATTCAAGGCTTCATGCATGCCAGGCAAGTGTTCTACCACTGAGCTACATCCCTAGCCCCTAGAAAATAGTTTTAAAAACTTGCATCTGTACTAAATTTATACAGGCTTATTAATAATAATAATATTATTATTATTATTGTTTTCTAAACAATACAGTATAATAACTATTTACATAGATTCACATTGTATTAGTTGTTCTAGATAATCTAGAGGTGGTTTAAAGTATACTGAGAGAATTCTAGCCACTTGGGAGTTTGAGGCAAGAGGATCCTAAATTCAAGGCCAGGCCAGCCTCAGCAAATTAGCAAGGCCCTAAGCAACTTAGTCTCAAAATAAAAAATAATAAGAGCTGGGGATGTGGCTCAGTGGTTAAGTTCCCCTGGGTTAAATCCCCAGTAACCCCCTACCCCTCCCCCAACAAAACTACCAGGAGGATGCACGTAGGTTATACACAAGTACTGTGCCATTTTATGTAGGGGACATGAGCATCTGTGGATTTTTTTTAATATTTATTTTTTAGTTATAATTGGACACAGTACCTTTGTTTTATTTATTTTTTTGTGGCGCTGAGGATCTAACTCATGGCCTTGCATATGCAAGGTCAGTGCTCTACCGCTGAGCCATAACCCCAGCCCACATATGTGGATTTTGTTATCTGCAGGGAGCCAGTCCCCTTTGGATACTTAGGAACAATTGTATTAATGAAGGTGAACAGGTTTCCAAATATAAAGAATCTATTTTGCTTCTTTGTATTTTTGGTTCAGTTAGAATAAGTATGCTCTCTTTTGAAACAGGATGTCTCGGGCCATTCATCTTCCAGTCCCCTGTCCTGTTCGGCTTGGTACCTTAAGAAATGACTCCTTGGAAGCTCAGCTTCATGAATATGTCAAACAAGGGAACTATGTGAAAGTGAAAAAAATTCTTAAGAAAGGTAAGTACTATGTTAAAAATAGCAGGGGCAATTTAATCTACTTTTTCTTTTTTTTGGTACTGGGAATTGAACCCAGGGGTGATCTACCAGTGAACTACATCTCTGCCTCTTTTTATTTTTATTTATTTACTTATATATTTGGTACAAGGAATTGAACCCAGGGGCACCTGGGACTGAGTCACATCCCAGCCCTTTTTATTTTTTATTTTGAGACAAGGTCTCACTAAGTTGCTTAGGGCCTTGCCAAGTTACTGAGGCTGATTTTGAACTTACAATCCTTCATTTTCAGCCTCCTGAGCTGCTGGGATCACAGGCATGCACCACTGTGCCCAGCCACCTCTTTTTATTTTTTATTTTTAGATGTGGTCTTGCTAAGTTACCCAGACTGGCCTTGAATTTGGGATCTTCTCCCTCATCCTTTCAAGTAGCTAGCTTTATAGGTATATAAAGTGGCTTTAGTCAACATTTCTGAATAGTGTTTAAAGAAAATCTAGGGACATTGTAAAACTATGAGTAAATACTAAGGGAAATCCAGTAGTTAATTTAGGAATGACTACCAATGCAGTCTTTATTCAGTAGTGGAGGCCTTAAATCCTGTTTGGAGGCTGTTCTTCTGCCCCCCCCCCTTTATTTTTCAGGGAGCAGTATACTGCAGATTGTAGTGAGGGTCTCTTTACCACTGAGCTACATCCCAGCCCTTTTTAAAAATTTTTTAAAAGTTGTTGATGGACCTTTATTTTAATTATTTGTATGTGGTGCTGAGAATCCAATCCAGTGCTTCATGCATGCTAGGCAAGCTCTCTGCCACTGAGCCACAACCCCAGCCCCCCAGGCCTTTTTAATTTTGCTAAATTTAGGGCCTTCCCAAATTCTGAGGCTGGCTTTGAACTTGTGATCCTTTTGCCTCAGCCTCTCAAGTTGCTAGAATTACAGGCTTATGCCACTGTGCCCAACAATAAATAAATAAATTATTGATGTTTAATTGGAGTATGGATGGGGTTAACAGGTATAATTGGATATGAAACAGGACTTCATCTGTGTCTGGGAATTATGTGTAAAGTTCAAAAGTGGAAAACAGGAGTAACACATTCCCCCTCTAATGCAGATCTTCTTATGAGATGGCTAAAATGATCCTTGGACTAGGTACAGTGGTACACACCTGTCATGTCAGAGACTTGGGAGGCTAAGGCAAGAGAATCACAAGTTGAGGCCAGCCTGGGCAACTTAGACCCTGTCTCAAAATTTAAAAAAAAAATTAAAGGACTGGGGATGTAGCACAATGGTAAAATGCCCCTGGTTATAATCCCCAGCACTTGTCAAACTAATAAAAAAATTAATCAATTAATCAATCAGTTCCAGCCTGCTTAACAGCTGAAATATGATACCCTTTCCTAGTTTCCTCCAAGGTGACATGCAGAGAACTTGTTTCTGAAATTTAGAGATCAGGAGATCAGCCATCTATATTGAAAAGTCCTTGATGATTGAATGAGCAAGGAAGACTAGCAGACTGATTAGCCACACTTCTATCAGGCATGGAGGGTATGCTGGAGCATGTAGATTGCACAGAAGGTAGCTGAGCCAAAAGGGATCTTACTCATGAATGAAGAATTTCAACAGAGAGTAGAGAGGTGGAACCTGGGAGGACAAGAGCTGAGGGTTGCAAGAAGTCCACAGGAGAGGGCATTGGCCTGCAGCAGGGTGCTGTGTACTGTAGTAGAGGTACTGGAATGATCTATTAACAATTTGCACAAAAGAGTAAGCTTTAGTATGAACACAAAGCTACAGAAAGCATCAGCTAAGTTAGAAGGTCTTTGTCTCCTACCCTACTCCTGTGTATGTATGTATTTATTTATTTATTTACTTACTTACTTACAGTGCTGGTGATAGAACCTAGGGCCTCCCACATGTCAGTAAAGTACTCTGTCACTGAGCTACATCTCCAGCAATTCCCTTTTTTGTGTCATTGGTTCTTACCTCTATCTCAGCTTTGGAATTGCTAAAAGTAACCTTGAAGTCAGGCATGGTGACTTGGGAGCCTGAGGCAGGAGGATCCCAAGTTTAAGGCTAGCCTGGGCAACTTAACAAGACCCTGTGTCAAAATAAAAAATAGAAAGGGCTGGGATGTGGCTCAGTGGTAGAATACTCCTGGATTCAATTCATAGTACCAAAAAACAACAGACAAACAATACAACCTTGAGATCAGAGGAAGAGTGGAGAAACAAGGAAAATCAGCAGAGGACTGGGTACTGAAATGTGGAGGGAAGGAGAAATTAGAATTGGATGTAAGATTGAACGATTTTTTTGTTTGTATGGCTAATTTTTTAAAATTTTTTATTTTTGTAATGGTGAGGATTAAAAACAGAACCTTGTATGTGCTGAGCAAATGCTATACCACTGAGCTATAGAAGTTTGTTCTTGTTTTGTTGTTGTTGTTTTGATTTGCTTTTAGTGGTACTGGAGATTGAACCCAGGGGTACTACCATGACCCACATACCAGCCCTTTATTTCATTATTTATTTATTTACTTGGCACTGGGGATTTAACCCAGGGGCACTTTTGCACATCTCCAGCCTCCAGCTACATCTCCAGCCTTCCATCCCTTTTCATTTTTTGAGTTAGGGTCTCCCTAAGTTTCTTAGGGCCTTGATAAATTGCTGAGGCTGGCCTTAAGCTTGCAATCCTCCTGCCTCAGCCTCCTGAGCTGCTGGAATTACAGGTGTGCATCACTGTATCTGGTTTAAGACTGAAGTTTTGATTTCAATAGAATTGATACTGTTGGTCATGGGTGAAGAGTTCTGCTCCCTCACATGTTTAAGTTTAAACATTAAAGAAGTATGCCGAGGCAAGGAGGGTTTATTTTAAAAAGAGTAACATTGACTTCTCCCAGGAGGGAGAAGCAGGCAATAGCTGGTATCCCGGTATCCTAAGAAGTGATGCAGTCTGCCCTTTTTCTGTGTCCTAGGCTTCCTTTGTTCTCCTGCCCTTTTCCCCTTATCTTTCTTCTTCCTGCATATGTGACTAGACCCAGAAATGCTCAGTAGGATGGCGAAAAGGTGGGAAACAGGTGAGCTGAAAGAAGAAGGGAAGGATGGAGCAGCCAAGGACACATTAACAACCTTATAGCTCCCTGTAGGAAGGGGCAATTCCTGGGACAGGTTACCTTGGTAACAGGTTAGAGCAGGAGCAGGTTATGGTGGAGGAAGGGCTCAGAAGGAATTAACATTTTAGTCTCAGGGGACAGTCTCCAACTTGCATTCAAAATTGGCTTCCTTGATCAAACCTGACCCTATTTATCTATCTATACTGACTGTCTGTCTAATTGTAGCTTCAGAAACACAGTATCACATAATCAAGCAAAAAAATTAAAATCACAACTGTGAAAAGTGCTGCAAAGGAGAGGTCTGTGAGAGAACCTGAAATCCTAAGAGCTAAAGATTTAAACACTGTTAACCAAGGAAAAAGGGCAAGGAATAGCATTTCAAGGAAAGTTAACAACCAGGTAAAGTCCTTTTTTGGTTGTTTGGAGCACAGTGGATATGACAGATTCAAAGAAAGTGAACAATTGTGGGGCAAGAAGAGAAGTGAGCTGAATAATGAAGTTGGAGGGGCTGGGATGTAGCTCAGTGGTGGTGGATTTGCTTACCATGCTAGAGGCCCAGATTCCATCAGAAAAGAAGAGGGCCGGGGGCGGGGTGGTGTAGACTCAGGGAGGAAGCCAGGATATGCAGGGCTTCATAAGTGATTGCCAGGTGTTTCTCCTTTCTCCTGACAACTTAGCCATCAGTTTTGTGGATGTTGGCAGAAGATAATGGACTCCTAGGTCAGAGACAAAAACAGTTTACTGGTCCCAGCAACAGTAATATTGTCATTTTTGTATTTGAGCCCCAGTTCCCAGTGAGTAATGCCAGGAGGGCCACATGATGCCTGTATACCCACGGTTTGTATGATAGGAGAGGAGATCAATAAATGGAAGCTTAGGAAACCTGAATTTTTTTTTTCAGTGCTGAGGATTGAAACCCAGGACCTCAAGCATGATAGGCTACAGCTACAGCTCCCACTCAAGTCTTTTTTTTTAAATATTTATTTTTTAGTTTTAGGTGGACACAATATCTTTATTTTACATTTATGTAGTGCTGAGAATCAAACCCAGTGCCTCATGCATGCTAGGCAAGCGCTCTACCACTGAGCTACGAACCCGAACTCTCAAGTCTTTTTAAAATTAATTTTCCCCTACAATTTCTTATCTCTTAACTGAAACACACAGCATTTACTGAGGGTAAGGACCTACAAGACAGAGATTGGCATTGGGAAATCCACTTAGACTTCTAAATTTTCCTTTCTTCAACTGCTTATTTCTAAGACTAAATGAGGTAATCCATGTAAAGGAGTTAGTAGGGGACCTTGGAACATTAAAATATAGGAGAAATGTTTGCTGCTGCTGCTTTTGTTATT